GGTGACCCTTTCGCTTTCTCCTATTTTCGGCTTGCTCGATTCCTACCGTGGTCCTGTCGGCTGCAGTCGCACCGTTACCCAGCGAGTCGACCGACCGAACGATGCTGTTCTCATCCAATGGACCGAATTTAATCCTAATGCGCAACGGACATACGTCTTCGCCATTCACCATCGTCCCACCATTCGCTCTAGAGCCGGACGCCGCTGAATGACCGTTGTCCGAATGATCACCGTGACTATTACGAGAGTCGCTTGCCGCCGCTACAGGTTCAATAGTGCAGGAAGCGACCGGGTGAAGCAACTTCTCGCTCACCGGTGTGACCAATCGGGGCGACGAGTTAGATCGAACGACACCGGGCACCGAAGCACTCGACGCAGTCCTTCGTAAGCCATCGGCAGGCCTGTAGCGACGATCGAGTTTCGGGGACACTCCTTCTTTGTGTGTCTGCGCCGAGTTCGGAGCAGACACCAACTTCTGCCATTCCTTGATCAGGGCTCGGCAACGCTTAGCAAATTCCGGGAATTCCTGTTGATTCTTTCGCCGGACATCGTTGATGAGCAATCCTATGCGAGATGTCTACAAAAAACCGATATCAAAAAACAAATTTGAGAAGGTCACGAACAGGACAAAACCATTAACGTTATGCCAATAACTGCAACAACAGCTCAAAAGAAAATATCCTCGGATTTTCAAGTAGTGCTTTCATTATTTCTACAGTCTGTAATTGAAAAAGCAAGCTGAATGCTAGCATAACACATACATTTAAGGACAGTCTAGACAGAACCAGTACATACATAACTGGCCTTTTATACAGTAATCGTCATAATTCATACTTAAGACCATGTTGTTTATACGTATAGGCAAAATATAAAATTCAAAACCTCCACCCTAATCGTGAAGTAATAACGATGCTCACTACAGATCAAAGACACGGGAAGGAAGTGTATGGTGCACAGGGATCACAATAACCGCCAAGGTCTATTATGAAGCCAGAAAATAGCGAATATCGAGGAAGTAGTTATAATGAAACGACGCAAAATTTGATATCATATCTTGGTAAAGTACAAAGGGTGTAGGATCGGCATGTTTCATGTGACTATGTGGCATTTCGCTTTGCGCGACGTGTCGGGTCGTCATAAGAATGTTTCGCAATATCAAAACGAAACCGAGATAAATTTAGCAGAATAAACTTTTTAACTCGATTATGCACCATCTACATTTTATGTATTCGGCTGCTTCGTGTTTCTTCATTACTTTGACTAACAGGTATCTAAATTTGTTCAAAAAAAAACTTACTAACTTCTTGTAAAGCAGTGATTTTCTACATTAACATTTTAAGTGAAACGAAGAAGTTAAGATGCTGGCTAACACGTGTCCGTCAAACTGCGATGATTGCGGGAATGCACCAGCGGACTGCAGAACGGGAGTTACTGTACCCGTATTAAAGAAAGAAGACCACAAGGAATGCTCCAATTATAGGGGCATAACGTTATTAAGCCACCCAGGTAAAGTCTAGGCAAAGGTGTTAGAAAGGAGGTGCCGTGAAATAGCTGACCTCAAGATCCAAGAGGTGCAGTGTGGCTTCCGGCCCGGTCGAAGCAACTCTGACCATATATTTGCCCTGCGCCAGATTGTTGAGAAA